GAGCGGGAGAAGGGATCCGTTGTTGATAATTTGTTTTTATCAACGATAAGAAAATATCTCATCTTTAGCATAAATTTAACACTATTACTAAGGAACAGAAAATTAAAGAACAATTAGGCCCGCATTCCGTTCACATAAGAGCTGCTCGTTTGTGTATTGCTTGCAATCTAAGTAAGCGTATGGCTCCATTTGATTCCAATCAAAGAGCAACTAAGGGATGTTACAAAGTAGATTGCTTGGACGCGTTTTGTCTAAAACTCACACCTGTCTTAAACACGTCTAACCACTCTACTTTGTAACATTCCCTTTATTTTATAGAAATATGATCAAAATCTTAATTTTATCAGTCAAAGTAGTTGATAGTCTCTATGATTTATTCTTAGGTAATAATGCTTACAAAACTAAAATAATCAATCCTCTTGTTTGTTTAAAAATAACTTGCAAAGTGGTGGTGGCTATAAAGAAATCATAAATAAGAGGAGAAAAAAAAAAGAGGAAACTTTAAAACTAAAATTCTTATTAAATATGATAACTTATCAAATAGAGAGCACTATACAAGCCTTCTATTCATAGAGGGATCAATCCAAGATGACAGGAACTCCTATCTTAACTACAACTCTTAAATCAAAACCTTATTTTAAGTTAATGTTTTACTTGGTAAAATATAGCAAGACACTAACTGTTCTAACTGTTGATATACAACATCATAAATCCGATGACTTGAAATTGTGGAGTGATGTACATCACACCAACTGTTGGTTTGTTTTGCACATTTCGCATCTTCCGACTCCGTTTGGATCGACTTCTTCAACTTCTTGATTTGTTCTTCCGACACTCGCCACTCCATCAAGTGAAGCTGATAACTCTCTGATCAACTGTTCCAGTCTGTAAATTGTCGCCGATGTCCCTGATCTGCTCGAGATTTCTAAAGTGTTCGTGGAATCGAGTTACAGCGGGCAGAGCAGCGAGACATGGAGCGACGTAGTTGACCATCCGAAGGTGGTAGCTACCTTGTGCAGCAAATAAACCACCCGGGTAAAGGATGATCCCAACGTAAAAGGACGCCTGTAACTTGTTTTGCTTGCACCACTTCAGTTTGGAAATGACAGAGTCCTTCGTGGCAGTGAGAGAAGCCGGAACACATGGATTGGTGCGATCGAGAATGATCCGTGTAATCTGTCATCATCAGATAACGCAGTAGATGAGGGAGAGGAATGTGCTGAATCAGGAAGCAGGGTAAAGAATGAAAGAAGGAAGGAAGGAAGGTGTTACATGCTTGATTCTTTCTATCAAACCATTCCGCTCGCTGCTCCCTTCTCCTTCTTCAAGGTCGAGGTTGACGCTCGCCATACTTCAATGATCGTGAAAGAGTTTCCCTTTTTTTTTTTCTGCCTTCCCTGGCGAGCTCGTCTTCTTCGGTTATGGTTCAATTCAAAGGTATATTTATAAACGATAGATTCCGGGCCAAATAAATATAGATTCTGTCGATGCTTGGTGAAAAATATGTATTATCGTAAATAAAATAGATTTAATGTATTTGATCTTAAGAACTCTGATATCTAAAATCTGTAATATGTTGTATTAAATACGAAAACAATCTTTTATGCTAGAATTAAAATCAAATAATTAGATCTGAATTAACAATACGTGTCTTTTGATGTCATCTGAAAAGATATCTCTGTTTAATTTTGTAAAGTTATCGTCTTTAATCCAAAATCGCTATGAATTTAAAAAAAAAACTAGATCATTAGGAAAAAAAGTCGGGAGAAAGACTGTAATCCCTTTCTTTATTTTTTTCTTATTATCAATCTCTAAAAATAATGTTTATTTATAGATGAGCGTAAAGAGTCTAAGATAAATCATTAGAGAGTTCTGCCAATCCTAAAGAATCTTACTTTAAGTGAATTCTTCTTATATCAGTCAACTAACGCACAAAGCTTTTTGCAGCATTCTTCTGATATCAGTCAACTAGACGCACAAAGCTTTTTGCAGCATCTTCTAAACGAGGAGAATGATTTTGGCCTGTATGGTAGTGGGAAGATATCAGTAAGCTACACGCACAAAGCTTTTACAGCATCTTCGAAATCATATGGTTCCACACCCCATGCTTCAGTGCCTTTCTTCTTTCAACAGTTTAGAAACCACTTGCACACAAGTTGTCTGACCTACATGCAAAACCTTTGGCATGGTATCTCCATAAGCTGTCTTTAGAATGAATGGGTATAGCTTTTAGAACATCTGATGTGCAGCAAACACCTGTTAATGTGAGAAAAACAAGTCGATCTCTAAGAGAAAGAGCAAACTCGATGGATGTGTATATACTTTGGCAAAGTAAAATTAGCTATACCATCAAACACCACCCACATGCACCGAACTCTATCACAAATATCATTGGTGATTAGTACCATGGTAGTTAACTAATGATTGTTTCACACGATGACCATGAAATATGGAAACCGAAGGATGAAATCTTAGTTAACTAATGATTCTTTTCGCCAAACAGTGCGGTTATATATGATAACTTGCAGTTCATGTTTGTAGACTCCATTGGCTAATTTACGTTTCGACATGAACATCTATAGCTCTTGCTTTCTAATAACTTATATACCCAACTTATCCAATTGATAAGATCATTTAGTTTTGGTTGAGGAGTATGGGAACTAAGGGTTCATAAAGTTCGTTAGATCTCTCTTAATCTCAAAAGTATTTTTTGAGTTCACATGCTCCAACAAGGATAAAATCGTACGGGTATCTCCATCGCGAACAATTTCTCATGAGTCTATGCACCGATGTTTGTATCTCAGTCGAACAAACTCTTTCCTGAGCCGTACACCTCGGTTATGAGCCCTTAACTTGATCGCTCCATAGTTTAACACGAATGCTTGAAATCGTTAATATATTAAAAATAAATAAATAAATAAAAAGAAGCATATGTGTTTGCTTCATCAGTGAGGATGCACTTTGATATGGAAGTAATGTCAAATGTTTTAGACATTTTAAAAAATTAATTTATCATCCTTTGTGGAGTTTCAAATAGGTACTTTTATTCATTTCAGAATAAGAACATGTAATAAACTTGACTTTTATACAGCATTTTTTAACACGATTATAATATTTTTGACATATTCATAAAAATACATGAAAGACTCAAAATCCCATACAAACTAACTTATCCACCTTAGTTGGATTATAATTAGGTATTTTTATTAGTTCATGAATAAGAATATATATATATATATATATATATATATATATATATATATATATATATATATATATATATAGACTTTTATATCCATTATAATAATTTTTAATAGGATTATAGTGTTTTTTTTATGCATTCATAAAAATCTTACAAGTCTATACAAAAATATTATAGCCAAAGAA